CATTGATGTGCTCAAAGTCTCACACCCTCAACCATAAGCTAATCCTGAGGTAGAAGGCATTCATCCGTCAGAAATTTAAAACAACAAAATACCATCTGTAAACGTTTCCCATAAAAACAGTGAAGCTAAGTGCATGCATGCACCTGTCCAACTTACAACAAAAGGGGTGACCAAGTTCCAGGATAAGGGGTGTCTGGTTATGTAAAATTATAGGATATTCGCCGGTTCCAATTAAGTGTCTAGGATATAGGGGTGTCCAACTAGAGGGATTTTACTCTATGTTATTTGTTTCTGACCCAGTACGGGGGGAAGAACCCTGCAAAATTAAGACGTCTGTTTCTGTGTTCTTGTTCATCTGTTGCTGTTTGTGGATTGTGTTTACGATTACAATTACATACCGATAATTTGACTGAATTATTCAAAACGCCCTAAATTTTTCTTGGATCTCTTTGAAATAAGTTTGACTGAAATGTTTAAAATGCGGAGGCCGTTTATTGCTAGGAGAGTGCCCGCACAGTTAGTGCAGGAACATTAGACGAATGCTTACATTTCTTATCAGTGTTTATTTCGCGAGAGCTTGCCCGTGCAAAGTTCCTTTTGTTGTTTAGACTACATATTTAGGCTTTTATATAACCATTATCAGTTCTGTATTAAAGTTTGTGCAATGTTTATTAGCATAAAATGTTGTACTGGTTACATTTATTCAGTTCAATCTAAACATTTTTATTGTGTCTTGTGGAAAAGTAGGTGAATCAAATAGGAACCTGTTAAATCAGAGCGAAATTATGTGTTTAGTTGTTGGGTTTATAAGCAAGAGCGTTGTAATTCTCCGTTGTAACAGAATTTGGAATCAGAGTGAGACACAAATTATTATTTCCATCTCGGGTTCCTTCTTTAACGAGACGGATGAGCGAACCTCAGCGGCAAATACGAGGTCTGTTCAAAATGTATCGGACCTTAATTTTTCCCACGGAAACAAATTAAGCACGGAAGGTGTCCTCCGGTGGGGGCATGCGCATGAAGGTCTCCTACACCCCCGTACATTGGTTTTAGTAAGTTTATAAATTCGTGTCTCGTGCGTACGTGCTGGCCTCATGCTACGAGACTGAGTTGTAAGATTTTTGTGTTGTATTTAGTGTCTAGATAGCCTGTGACTCACTTGATCTGTCTTCGCCAGACTTTATTAATGCAAAAAGATGAAGGTGAACGGGGCTGGGCATGTAGCGCGCATGGGATAAATGACATGCACACTGAATTTGTCTCAAAGCCTGGGAGACCCAAAGGTAGATGTCAGCACATATATGGATGGCAAGGAAAAGTATGAGCTGGGTTCAAATGACCCTGTGCAGGGACCAGTGACGGACGCCTAGGAGTTTGTAATCATTCGTTCAGTGTAGCCTCCAACAACTGTTAACTTCTATAAAAAAATATTTAGAAATAAGAATATACAAAGCGGTGGAGATGTGTAATTCTTTAGATCCAGCGTGCTTGGATTTGTTAATTGGTAAAGGTAAATAAATGGCTAGTTAGGAGGTTAATTGTTGAAGCTGTGCCAGTGGAACAGTCTGGAAATTGCAGGAAACCCGGTGAAGAAGCAGATACTGGGTGTAGTGTTCCAGGCTAGCAGTGTTTATTAAGATAAAGATTTTCAATGCTGCGTGTGTAGTTGGTAATTGTGCAGACGCCCTTGGACAAAACACTAGCTTGGCCAGAATTAATTTTGTCTGTGTTGATCTCAATAAACCCAGATTAAAAAACTGTAAAAACGATGTCCAGCAACGGTCAACAATCAGCATGAATGATATGGCCTCTGTTCTTATCTCGAATCCGATTTGTCAGTCTCTGTCCCTTCCTCCCCTGCAGAAGATTGCATACAGCTCGCTAGTTACGCTTGAACCCACGTAATCACTGCATAATAGGAGATGACGCTTGCACAAATTTTATATTTTCATGTTAATAAGATTGTCATAATAATTTCCTACGGTAAGTTTAAAATGATCATAATAGTCTAAATTTGAGAGACTGGCGAAGTTGTAACGGGAACTTCATGATTTTATCTCTTACGTATTTTTCTTGTGCAGATATAGAGTAAAATGTTGGTCCCAGAGGAACATCGTAGTTGCGAACAGAACTCATGAAAACAGTTGAGATCTCTTGGTGCACTCTGGTGGCGCGACCGCTGTAGCAGCTCCAGGTACAGTGTCACCATCTACTGGTCACTGTAACAACGAAGAACACACACCAGTCTCACGGAAAAATAGGGACGCGATTAAATTGTTTTAACGCCAGAACCACGGACCCGTCGCCAACCACGGAGACGGAGAGACCCGCAGAATGTGTGTCAGCCCATGTCAGAGTAATGCTGATAATTCCCAGGACACTGAACAGGTCTGTAGTTACATCGAAATTCAGTCTGAGGCGGATTTTATGACATTTAAAAATTACTTAATTTGTACTGCATCTGAGAATTTATTACGTTAAGAAATCCTTCCGATGGGTGTCGCGGTATTAAGATAGTGCAATATTTGCTACGAATTAATTTTTGCTTGACTACACATTTTTCATGTTAACATATTTAATGAACAGAAACAAACCGGAATGTTTGGAGTGTTAATTTAGAAACTAGTTAAAAGCAACCCGTTAATTTGTTGAAGTAATATGTTTTATGTTCAGGATTACGCATCAGTTTCGTGGTACCAAACCAAGTATTATTCATGTCCAGCAATGGAGTGATCCAGGGCTGACAAATAAGCCGACCGCCATTTTTACCAGGGACTTTAATGTTTATATGAGAACCTCGTCAGCGAAAGAAGTCCTGCAGAAATGTTTTGTGTAGAGTGAACTTCATTTAAGAATTCTGACGTTGGTGACACTGTCACAGGTGTTAAACGTCTCAGAACTGCCACTAGGAGCGCTCGATCGGTTCAACTTCTCAGTTCTTCTGTCGTGTGTAGCCAGCGATATTTCGCTTCTCTTACTTTGTGCTAAAATGTTTTTTCTGTTGTGATTGCTGTTGAGTAGTGGAATGGAGATTGTGCATTACCACTTCCGCTGTTTTTGCCAGCGATTGTTACTTGTGAGTAAGAAATAAAGAAAGAGGAAGGTTGAAAATCACCTTCAAATTGGAAGATGCGCTTTGTTTAATACTGTAGTATTAGCCTAGTACAAATTTAACGGCGTTCCAGATATGGTTGCTGCCTCTGAAACGTCGGTAATTTTGTGCCAGATTAAACGGTGCAACATCTGAGAAGAGTCATGTTCATATTCGCCGCCGTGAGAGCCTGAAATCTCACCAAGCGGAAAAGTTAATTCCGAAAATTGCTTAGTGGACAAACAATGTTTCACGTTGCCTAACCGAACAGGGGCAGTTCCCACTTGTGTTGGAATGTTTCACTTTGCAGTGTATTCATGACTGATATTTCTTGCCTCGAATTGTGTTTAGCAATTCACTTATAGAGCGATTCTGTAATAAAATTAGCTGTAAAGGGGGTTTTGGGATGCAATTGTCTACCACAAATATAATGACTCATAGTAAACACCCCGTGTTTTAGTCTGGTTTCTGTATCACAATCTGTTTCGTGTTATTTTTCATGAGTGTTCAATAATTATGTGTGCTGACTATTGTTTGTTCTGATAATGAGTAAAGGAAGTATATCATGGTTACAGCAAATTACTTTTTCTAAATTGTCTTTGATTGAAAAAAGTGATGTAAAAAATCATGGCCGCCCTCTTCCGGACTTAAAAATAGTTAAAACATCGTTGAGCACGTATGGGTTTTCTCCTGATGTAAATTTACTTTTCATTTATTTATATTGTTATGTGTTGAAAAACTATTCTGAGTTTTCCCCCTTGCACAGCACTACCACTGCTCAGACTCACAAGCCGCCACTGCCTCTGACACAGAATATATATTATAAATATATAATAATTACAAAAAGTATTCACACTACAAAAAGCATAACATTTTATTAAAAATGTTTTGCTGAAATTGTAATTACAACCTTCATACTTTCAATATTTTATATAATTATGAAACTTCAGTGACATAACAAATATAGTTTATAATATGCATGCCATCCATACAAAAGATCTTATGATGGCATATAATATGTACTAAAATATGTAACCTTTGATATTTTAGTTTCATATTGTAGATATTGTAAATGTACATACCAAAGAATCTACCTATACTGTACCATTCTTAAATACTTTTGCTGTTGTCCAAATTTATCATCAAAGTTTCTACAGTCACTTATTACATATAAACAAAAACGTATGGCAACAGCAAATACAAATACACATACAGGCCATGACAAACTATAACGGGTTGAAGAAAATGGTGACAGTTATTTTCATATTTTTTAATTAATGACTGTTGCCAATTTAGTAACCCTTTGAAGCATTACAGCCTCAGGTTCAGGATTTGTTCACATTACCATGTTGCTGGCTGTTAACTGTAACATCCTTCTAGCTAAGCAGATTGAGTACTTTCTTTTGCATATAGCACAAGAAACATGTATATGATGCTGTGCCATGCAAGCCGGGATCCTCGATCAGGAAATGTTTGAACACGTTCTCCATTTTGTCATGTTGTCTTACCAGTGTTAACTGGAAATATATAAAAAAAACTAATTAAAATGTGAAATGGTTCTGAAAACGTTTTACATGATGTGGAAGGAACCCTTTTGGTAACTCCGTAACACCAAAGCCCACCAATGGACAAGATTCTGAGTTAGTTTCATATACCTCCCATCTTGCAACCCCATCTCCATCCTGGTATTCCAAACAAATATTTCCCAAAAGGTTTCCTCACTAAAATTCTGCATACATGCTTTGTCACTCTTGTTCTAGGTCTCATGCAGAAATAACAACCACCTCCTAGATTCATCTATACTAACAATAATACTAGGTAACCTGCATAAATTACAAAGTTCCCCAGTATGTAAACCTAAAATATTCATTTACTTCATCCTTCTTAGGTACATATATTTTATTGAAGACTTTGTATTCAAACACTTGTAATTTGTGCTCTTCCTTCAGTTAAGACACCACAGTTTACTAATTTAAAGACAGCAGAAAACATGCATATATAACAATCATAAAATCACAGTAGAAAAACACTGGACACTAACCCTCATGCATCGATGTCTCTCCTTGCGAACAGAATCAATGACGAATTTTATCCTTGCTGAAAGTGCATTATCTAGCACAGGCAATGATGTACGATCAGTGTCAATCTGAGCAAATGAATGAACACCAAACACATTCTGTACCCATTTCATATCAACATTCAGCCCAATCCACAAGAATAAGCGGATCCCATTCTCTGTAACAATGAACACAGAAGACACATGAAATGTTGATCTCAACAGACCTTATATTATTCTACTTGATCTGTATGTAGTTTAAATACATCATATAGATTTTTATGGAACTCAATATGTGAAGCTACCTCAAATTTGTACACTTTAGTTCCATACAATCAATAATACAGCAGACTCCCGATTATCTAGGTTAGTTAGGGAATATATATTTTCTTGGATAATTGAAACCCTGGATAGCCTACAAAATGAAAGGAAAACATGCAAATGTAAGAGATATGTAAGTTTATTTACAGACACACTACTTGAGTTTTGAAGATTTACTAGTAACAGAAAGGATTCTATATAATATTTAATACAGTTTTATTCAGTGTTCTGTCTGATGACAGGTCCATATGAACAGGATCCTTCCATCCTTTTCTCGGACTGGGACCTGTTCATATGCGTTCTTGGCAGATGATCCAGAAGTGGTTTGCCATTGCCTTCTTCTGTGTGTGAATGGAGTAATTGTTGGGATGCCACGGAGAAACCGGGGAATCCCCCGGAGGAAAACTCCGTGTTGCCTAGACCACGGCCTTGCCCAACACAAGTTATAAATTCGGGTACCGCCGGGAATCGAACCCGAGACCCCAGGATTACAAGGCCAGCGTTCTAACCGCTAGACCACCGTGGCAGTACATACCAATTATTTTTTAAATTAGAATTCCAATGGATAGTAATAACATTCTATTGTCACAAACTTCAAGCTTTAACAACAACTGGTTTATGTTAATACATCATTGTTGTATTTATGTATTTATTTTAAACATTCTAACTTTTACAATGGACTTTCTAAATTTTTAATTTTCATTTCAACCAGATAGAGCCCAGTTAACCTGCCCTGGATAATAGGAAGTTTACTGTACCAACATGGCTGTCTTGTGAACTTCTGCCACATGGAATCTATATTTATCTTTCAGTTGAGTGGAAGCAACTACTTAACTAATAATAGTAGAGGTGTGAAATTTTATATGGAAAAATCATAAACAACTAAAACTCTTTATTTTGAGATTATGTCTGAAAATTCTTCTTCTTCCTTGACTCTAAAACCCAGTTGTGGGTCTTCACTGCATCCTTTTTGGAGGTTTCCTAGTCTTTGAAGTGTGCATCTGCGAGTAGTGAGTGTCCAGCCCACTGCCTCTGCACAATTTCTACTCAATCCTGATTTGACTGATAGAGCCATCTAGTAGAGAATCAGGAGACACTTGGGTGAGAAATGGCAGCTGAATTTTGCTTACAAAACATCTTGTTCATGCTGTAAGTTTATGAAATGGGACTGCCGGCTTCACTTCCCCTCCAAAGGAAGTTGTGCTAATTTATTTTTACCACCCTTAAAAATCCATCGACCTCAGTCAGGTTTGAACCCACGAACCTTGGGTCCAGTGGTGAGCACACTAACCACTAGTCTACCGAGAGCAACAGTGAATATTATTAAAAAGATATAATGAAATAACACTTCAACCCTGAAAATGGAAGCAATATGTTCATCTGAAATGTTCGTAACTACCTACAAAACTACGTGGTATCACACACAGTGGGTTCTTACTCAACATGAAACTATTGCATACTAATACAGTTGTAATTATAAATACAATTACAATTAATTATTGTCTGCTGCATCAAAAAACAATGAAACAGTATCACTGTAAATATCTGCTGTTCTGCTTTACTGTTTGTTGTTCATGTGTCACAACCACTTAAAGGGCATCAAACATGGTACTGTGTGCACTGATGTGCTAGTACTAGTTGAGTATCCACTGTTCACACTGGCTTCAAACCACAGTTTCAGTACTCGTGATCAATAATTTTCTGTCACTGACTTCACACTTCTTTCTCACACCATTACTTTAACAACTATAGCTAGTCAACACAAATTCACTTTTTTATAAATCCAGCACTGTTTTGGTCAATTACACCACATTGCTAGTTGAGTCTACTGGTTTCTTGATATTTTGTAAAGGATTACTCAATCCTTTTAGAAGGCAGGGTGTATGAAAGCATAGATTTACGTGCATGCATCACTTTGCCTGTTGGTTACTTGTAATCTGCTATGCAAGACTGCAGGGGAAAAGGGGGGAGACCTCAAACTGCTTCCTGTGACATCATGGCAAATACTCGTCACATTAATATGCCATTCCTACAAGCCTCATATTCAAATACAAGAATATTCAAGTCAAGTATGATTTTTTTTTAAAATTGCCAACATGGATGGCACTTTATTACATTAAATCGTGGACCCTAATTAACATACATTCAACAAGAATGGAAGCTCTAAATTCTTGAAACATTTAATGATGTCCACTTTCCTTCAAATGCTTCTCTAGACAGAGGCTACCAGAAATTAAAATGATCATACTTTTTAGTGACCTGCTTGTATGATGCCAATGTTCATGGATTCTCTTCATATGAAAGCTGTTATACGAAACATTAATACAGTTTTCTCTCCTGGAATGAGTCTTATTTTCAAAATAAATGTTTTACATAGAGTAAGACACCACATTTATAAACATATACACCAAATCTCTGTAACATTCACAAAGTTTGGGATCTGTTTGAATCAATCAAGTGTTTATGTACTTGGAATTCATTTCAGTTTAAATGGGAAATGATTTTTATTTCCCCCTTTATTGTTAGTAGCATGTATCTATGTTATGTATGAAGGTAACATCATACATAAGATTTCAGGCTTTCACAGTGATAACTGATAACAGAGGCAGTGTGTTCCTCCACAATGCTGGTATCTACAAGTCCATGCAGCATTACTATCCAGAAGACAAACATCATAATAAGTACAATTCAATTTTCTGCAAAGTAGAAAACAAGGTTCTGAATTGGAAATTATGATGATACATCGTGGTTTCCCATTTCTAATGGAACTGCTACCAAACTCATTTTAGATATCTACATACGTGTTTAGAATTGTAAGTACTCACCTAACAAGTACACACCATCATCTCTAATGTTATCTGACATGCAGCGGATGGAAGATGGCAGTTCATCAGAATCAACATCGATGTCATGAAGTGGGATAAGTCGTGGGTAAAAGAACACAACAGATGATGGAATATCCATTATTGTAACTGCTTGCATTATAAAAAATCGGTCATCGATAGTCATGTCAGATCCTGTGATCAGCATATTCATAATTATTAAGAAAACACTTTCAATTTCCACAATAAATAGAGATACGAATGTGGCCTTTTAGTCTGAAGTTACATAAAATTCAAGTACCATACTTATGAGCATGGACTAAACCTTTGTTTTCTGTTTTATAAGAGAAATTAAGTTTAATCCTGATGATATATGATACCCATAAACCCACAATTTGGATATATATTATACCCTGAAAAGAACTCTGTGGGTTTCAGTCTCAAGACTAACATGACCTCAAGGCAAATATTCAACCATATGTGCATATTCTTCCACTGTAAGTCTACTATTCATTATGTAATCATTCTTTTGGAATGTTCTGGCTGGCTGTGTGACACCCACAATGTTTAGATTCAATACTTATGTGAAGCTGCAGTTTATAGAAGTCAAAAACTATAGAGTATACTATGCAAAACTGCTGGCTAATTATTATTATTATTGAGTGTTCTGTCTGACGACAGGTCCATGGAATAAATTTTATCTGCACACTCAGACTAATTAAAGAAACTGAGGAAACATTAAAGACCACTCACTGTGCCCAGAAAAATATTTAATAGTTTACCACATTACATTAAACTTCTAAGGTAATAGAAAGAAAACATATCTATAAAACAGGGAAGGGAATGTAAGGTGAAATTCTGTAATTTTGTCATTTACAATTTAAATTCCTTCTGATAATGTGGTAAAACCTAATTTAAATTGTCTAGGTTGTCAAACAGGTGTTTTATGGACCTTATGGGTATGGGCTGTTAGTGGAACCAATAGGTATGTGGTGGTTCCGTACAGCTGTATTTCACACTTACAGCATGGCTGCCATAATATTACTGCACAGTGAAGTACTCTAAAAACATGGCTGGAGTAATATTACAGTGAATTTTGTTGTAAGTGCAGCCTGAAAAGTATATTATTGCTCATATAGGTCTTGCATTTCATTCACTTACCACCACATGCCAGTATTTCACAGATTACTTGTAAAATACTGAATACTGGTCATAACAGCTGTTTATAGCTTGGTTGCTTTGTTGTCATGAGATAAAATATTAAAGAAAAATGTTTGAGAAGGATTATTAAAGATTTTTAGATGAAAAAACTAATAGAAAGAGCAATTCTTTTGTAAACACTGATTCAGATAATGACAAAATTGTAGTTTGTGTTCACTTTTACAATGTAATGAAATTAACTGACATTCCACAATTTGCACTAATTAGAATGCCCTACATCACAATTTATTTTCTGTCTTCATTCAGTGGTTTTCTCTGGCCTGTTGAAAATTATAACAAATAGTTAAAATCACCCATCCCACAGAGTTACACCCATACCCACTGCACTAGCAATGTAAATGTTAACCTAACCACATGCTCAAAATACATGTACTAACCTCCTGAAACTGCATCACTCTTGAGAACGCAGTTAACATAAAGTCCGAACAACTTCATGCACTCAGGCAAGATAAGCTGTTCTGCTGAAGTTGGACTAGTACAGTTCTTCCTGTAGCAAGCCAGCATCTGTGCACACTGATTTACCAGGTTTTGTCTGACTGATTTTGGTGATGACTCCAACAGTCGGAACACAGCTATTAGACAAACCAAACATATAATATACAATAAAGGTCGACATTCAATGAGTTCTTAAGAATATCTAAACATAAATTTGAAACCAAACATAAATTATAAAAATCATGTGGTTCCATGACCTGGAGAAAATTTCTACTACAATGTTTAAAGCCACCTTCCAAAACATTTTGTAGTTTTTACATTTTTTCAATTAACAGATAATGTCCAAGAATATGCTTCAGTTTCATGACATACCTATGTCAAAACCTTTAGACAACCTTTGTCAAGAGTATCTGGCTCTTCATCTTTAGACCTGCTAGCTACACATAGCAGAGTCCTACTTGAGAAATTGACAGTCACTTAGCTGAATTGGAAATTCCCATTTCCTGTAACTTGGAGGATGACTGCAGTGTTAACAAAAGTCTGCCACCAACCATACCCTACAACTGTTTAATCAGTACGCATCCTTATTTTCTAGATCTTTAGCATCCAATTTAGTAATATTGTTACAAAAATGTCTGTATGTCCCTAGTGGTATCTTCACTTCAGGCTGTCTGTCTAACATTTCTATGCATTTCCCATGTCCAATTTGTATACTGCTTTCCCCACTTCCACTCATCTTACAACAATGACAAATGCTAATAAATAATGCATAACAATAAATCATGAATCACATACTTTGTTTAGCATTAAAGTTAATAATGCTATCCAGGTCGCAACTTCGATAAAAGTTAGCCATCTCTGTGCACGTATTGAGTGAAAGATTGAGGATGCGAATGCGTCTCTGACCCCCACATGATGTATACAACAGAGCAACCTGAATATACACTCCATCTTCTGTAAGCTTATCATCATGTTTGATTTCTATGGCGAGAGCCTGAAACACAGCAGCACTGTTAATAATTTTACATCAACTTTTTCACCCTGATGGTTGAAGAGAACTCAGATCTCATACCAATGCTTGGACTTTATGGTCTTAAGTTCTACAGTTACTATCGGACAAACTGGTAGGATGGGGTTACATTCTTCACTTGCAGAAACAATAAGTTAATGAATAAAGTGTACTAAAAATGCAGCACAAAGTAAAAATAATCACTGGCATTTTCTAAGCAGAAGAATAATTTATCAGTTTTTGATACTCCATACAACACAATATTTTTCTTATCTCACCCATTTTTATAAAACAGTATTAAAAAGACTTAACAACAAACAAAATACCATATACTGTTGGATATCTGGAATAGTACTACATATGTTATATTTACAAAGAATTACTTCATCATGTGAGGAATTTGGGGATTCCCAGAAAAAGGTCTTAAGCTTGAGAAGTAGTTACAGAGTCTGCCATATAACCAAATTTCACACAGATTTTGTAGGCAAGACTTGTAATATCAGCATAGGATGATAATGTGATTCACACCACCTTGGCAATTTAGCTTCAATGCTATGAAAACCTCAAATCTTACATCCACAGAATTTCAGTGTCACTGTCTGAATTACTAATATGAAGCAAGACAGCAAAACTAAGTGGTATGTTTCTACATATTAAAAATTGTCACTTGAAAACACACCCAAAATTTTAAACCAATTATACGCAAGACATTTATATTACTGCAGATGTATATGTAAGGACTTCCTCACCTTATCACAGTCAATACTGGCAAGCATCATTTCCGTTGTGTTTGACATAAAGAAATGACCATAGAAATCAGTCGCCCTAACACCTGTAGATGTGCGCACTCTCATGGCGGCATCAAATGCAACTGGACGACTCACATCATGTTTGATATCTGCTATAAGTCGTTCACCATCCACATCAGCCTGTCCAACATTTGTAAATGTAAACACATAATTATTCTTTAATTTATGACACACCAGAATGATAGTTTCACACTTTCAGAAAACCATTTACAGTAATGTTTTTTATACCAGTTTCATTATAGCATTTGACTAAAATTTCTATTAAGCAATTTACTAAATCTCAGGTTTTTAAGTAACAGTTCATATACCTTAAAATTTGAGTACTTGTAGATTTCTCCGCCAGTCAATCTTGATACTTGACCAATGGTGGCCAAGTCAATGTAAGAATTGTTGAATATAAACAGATCGACACTGCATCCAGCAGCAACACATTCCTCGCCCAGGTGGCTGTACACACACCCCTGTGGTGCTGAATTAATCATAAATGTTAGTTTACTCAACCATGAATCATTGTTCAACTCAAAGTCCAAATTTCAGGCAGTTCACCAAAGAAATGGTGAGTCTTTAATCCTCAACTGCCAAAAGAGTAAAAAATACCCCACTCATATTCCCTGCATTAGTTTTTATCATATAACATATCCAAGCAACGGAACTATGAGCTGGGATAGCTCAGTCAGTAGCTACGGGCTGTGCCATCGGGATTCGATCCCCGACAGGGGCAGAGGATTTTTCCTCTAGCCTCTGCATCCAGACCGGCTCTGGGGCCCACCCAGCCTCCTGTCCAATGGGTACTGTGGTCCTTTCCCGGGGGTAAAGCACGGCTGGGCGTGATGCTGATCACTCACCCCCATCTAGTGCCGAGGTCAAGAAAGGTTAGGAGCTATACCTCAGCTCTCCCCCCAAGTGCCTGCATAGGCATGTAGCGGGACGCTTTACCAAGCAACAGAACTACCAAAGGAGTCCTTATCCTTTTACAAAGACCTTCATATGACACTGGTGAGCTTTGCACTTTAGTTCAACAGAAATTATACAAATGGAACATGTACTCGTACCTTTCCAACGTATACTGTCAAAAAGACACAGAGACAGAAATGGCGAAGTATTTAGGGACGATTACACAACCTTTAGGAGAGATAGGAATACACGAGGTGGCGAAGTGCTAGAAGTGGAATGGGAAGATAATTGCTGCGAACCTCAGGTAGAAAGATTAGTCCCGGTATACCATAAACAAATGTTTTAGGATTACAAACCTTCCTCAGGGATAAATTCGCAATATGGGCAAGTAATGGGAGATGTGTCGAGGAGATATGGGATAATTTCAAGAACGTAATATTCGAGAGTATCCAACGTTTTGTGCCACATAAAATACTGAGAAAAAATTCAGACCCTGAATACTACAATAAGGAGGTGAAACGGTTAAAGTCAAAGGTGAGAAAAGCATATAACAGCAGAAAATTAGGACAACAGCACCAAGAGGAA